CCTTAAAGAAATGGCTACTTGATGAACAGAGCAGGACACACTCAAGATGAGCTGGTGCCGCTTGGCAGCCAGAGGTCAGGAAGTGCTAGAAAGTAAGTGAGCCCACATCGACGGAGAAACGCACGATATAAGCCCACACTGGTGGAGGGACCCGCCATCTAAGCCCACACTGGTGGAGGAACCCGCCATCTAAGCCCACACTGGTGGAAGAACCCGCCATCTAAGCCCACACTGGTGGAGGAACCCGCCATCTAAGGCTCCCACATCAAAGGGACCAACTGAAGTAACGTCCAACAGCCAAAGCTGAACTAACGGGCCAACGACATAAAACATTGCTGGGTTATAACCCCAACCACAAGTCAAACAGCCACAAAGCAACACCAACAACAATCAAGTGAATAAATGGGAGAGAAAGACTAGAATCCAAGAAACTTCTGCAGACATTTCACCCTAAAGGGGGAGAGCAGAATGCACCTCTCATCTATGATCTTCACATAGATGCCCAAGGAAATAATATAGAAATATTATATTATATATTTCATATAATATCTTTATTTTTATTATATATTATTATATAATATGTCTACATTATATACATTATGCATAATATATACCTAATATATGCTTACACATATGAAAGAGGAAAAGGAGAAGATGGAGCACCTGAGAGCTAGGTGAATGTGAGTACCAGCAGTCTTGGTCATGCTGGCAGTCAGTAAGCACACTTCCTATGATTTCAAGACAATAGTGTTTGCCTTTTTTACTAATTCCCCAAACCATGTGTCCATTCACTTCATGAAAAAAAACAACAGACAAATTCAAACACAGAGAACCTTACAGTATACCTGACAACTATCAGCAAGGATGTCTGTCAGTCAAGACAAGCCTGAGGAAGCATCAAGCTGTGAGCAGCTTCAGCCTGTGTGTGTGCAGCACAGGTCCCGAAGGACAGCCTGGGACCACAGGAGCGGGACACGAGGGAAGAAGGACAGAAATGGGTGTGGGTTGTAGTTAGAGTCTGTGGGGCTGCCTCAGTTCACCAGCCAAAAGGAGTTTTCCACATGAACGCAGGTTAACAACGGAAGAAGCTGGGTGGGAGGTACACTAGCTTTGTGATTCTAAACTTACTATAAAAATTGGAATGGTAAAAATTTTAAGATGAAGTCAACAAGTCATTATAATCCAGAAAGAAAACCAAGAATACACGTGGTACCTAGACATGACAGAAGCAAAAGTACAGCTCAGCACAAAGAATGGACTGCGGGGTCACCAACCCTAAGATGACTGACAATCTGTGTGAGAGAAGGTTAGACCTCTGCTTCACCCCAGACTCAATCTGCAGTCAGATTAAAGTTCCAGGTATAAAAACAAATCTTTAAATTTATTTAAAGAAATCTTGGGGAATATATATGCTCTTGGGCAAGGGAAATGTACTTAAGCTAAAGAAGGAAAAGTAATAACCAAGATGTGATTACATGATTCTCAACTCTATTAAAAAAAAAAAAAAGTGGCAAACTGTAAGAAACGTCCCAAAGAATTAATATGTAAAATGTACAGAAATTCCATAAATAAATTAGAATACAGCAAAGCAACCCAATGGTAGAGAACAGGCTTGAACAGGCACATCTCACACAGGAAAGCACATTAAAGCATGGAAATGTGCTCCACAGAGGGGACAACCCGCCTTTACCACTTAACACACCACATTTTCCTGTCAGGCGACAGTAAGTACAAAGACTGAAGGGACTGAGCATGGCAACTGGGCTCATCAATGCTCTCCCCATGTGGCCTAGCAAGTGTGGAGGCCAACTTGACATCATCATTAAATGCACGCATCTTCCCTGCTCAGACATGCAAAACATTACAGTTCCCTTTACAGCACTGTGACACTCGTGACGCTGTGAAGTCATGTGACACAGCCAGAGATGGTGGAGGTGGTGTGCCTGGCAGACATTTGTATACACGCGCATGCCACACACTATGAGTTCCAACAAGCCAAGTGCAGAGCTCTCCAAGAGATCGCACTGGCTACACACAACTGCAGAACAGAGCTGGGGACATAGCTCAGAGGTCGGGCATCTGCCCAGCGTGCACAGGGGTCTAGGTTCAGTTCCATGAGCTCCAGGAAGGAAGGAAAAAAAAAAAAAAAAGGAGATGCGTGATCTGCAGCATATAACGAAATCTGTGGTTTCTTTAAAGAAGAGTCAAACACACATGTTTGGTTTTTTTTTTTTTTTTTTTTTTTTTTTGCATGTGTGTATGCGCCTTACCTTCACACATGCTAATCATGTACTCTACAGATGAGCTACATCTGAGCCATGTTAAATGTTGAGCGCACACACAACTCTTAAAGAATACACAACTCTTATCAAGCCGAGAAAGAAAGTGAGACTGAGGAGATGGGAATGTTTTCATGTTGGATTACAAAAGTCACTTCTTTTTTTTTAACTTAGTGAAATAAGCAGAAAGAGGAAGAGGTATCAACACTCAGAGTTTTACCAGGCCTAGGGAAAGGGATCAGAAGGTAAAAGCATTTTCCATGTAAACATGAAGATCCAGAGCACCTACATAAAAAGCTAGACATGGTGTAATTGTGACGTGTGTGCGTGCGTGTGTGTGTGTGTGTGTGTGTGTCTCACAAATGCACACAGAGAGGAGAATATCAGCATGTGAGTGGGGAGACAGAAGGATACAAAAGCTTTGCTTGCTGGCTGTCCAACAGCCTAGCCTAGTGTTTGGTGAGAGGCCCTGTATTCAAAGGGCACAGAGTGACAGGATAGGATACCCACATCTTTCTCTGGCCTCCACCTGTGCCTAAGGGCGCGCGCGCGCACACACACACACACACACACACATACACACACACACACTCAGATACCATGTATACACACAGCATTTTCTCAAATGGCTACAATAATCGAGCACACTCAAGTCAGGCACCTTTCTTCTGTGACCATCAGAGTCATTGTAACTTTATTCTCTCCGAGACCCAATGGCAAGATAGCAGCAACAGTGTTGCTAGACAACTTAACGCTAGTAGAAAGTGCATCCGCTGCACCTTTATAGGAGGTCTATGCCCAGACTCTAAACATCCCGATGCAACCTGCATACTGCAGCTTCCATGATGCACTGACCTGGAACAGGCATATTGTCTTCCACGCCTGACTCAAACCTTCTGGCACACAGGTTAGAAAACACCAGGAAGCAGGTGTCACAAGCCAGCTCCTTTCTGCTGTAACTGATATGGCTGTGTGGAAAGGCTCTTTGTAGATTACATACTATGCGTGAGACTTTCTTGAGCAACAGCTTTCAACTGTAAACGCTGACTTTCATCAGCCTTTGAGCTACATGTCATTAGCCATACTTGGCTATCAACTAAGCTCACACAATTTCGGTGAATAGTGAAGTATAAACTGTACTACACAACCCCAAACATATATGGCTGGAGAAATTTTATCTAGAATTACCATGTCACTACAAAAAGCTCAGTTATTCGCTTTACATAATACAACAAAACATGGATCTACAAAAAACGAAAAAGAAAAAAAAAATCCAAACGAGTTGACTTCCAAATTAACATCTAGGGGGTGGGGAGGGGCGGGACTAAAGTTTAACAGAATTTAACAAAAATAAAAGTGCCTCACGACAAAAAAATAATCCACACACCAAGTATCCAGGAGAGGGAATCAGTGCTGCTGGACAGGGATGAGGACAAGGCAGACTGCACTGAGCACGCTTAAACTGGAAACAAGGACTGCACCAGGATGTGGTGCCAGGGGCAGGAATGGCTGCACTGCGGTCAGACGCCTCGGCTGGGAAGAGTGTGCAGCCCTCAGCTCAGGGCCACCACAGCCATCAGACCACGCAGGGCGTTCTCTTCCATGACACTGTGCTGTCACTTCTTTTGAGGAGTCTTAAAACTTCATGGCACGGCCTGAGCATGGTGGCACTTGGAATAAATACTCCTGGCACTTGTGAGGCTGAGCTGGAAATACTGTGAGCTGAGTATGTATGATACACAGAACAAAACCCTGTCTCAAACAGATCAAAACAGCCTACTTCCCACTCGGCTCGCTTTTCTTAACTCTCTTGTGCTGAGGATTAAATCCAGTGCTCCAAGCATGTGAAACACCCGTTCTACTGCATCTCGGCCCTAGTCCCTCCCCCTTACTCTAAACAGTTCTAAAAGGGATCCAGGAAGCCATATTTAAAGGGTGCTGACTGCAAGGAAACCAGGTAGAAAAATAGGTCAGGGAGATTTTGTATACATGACGTGTGTTTTGTTTCAAGAAATACTTATTTATTCTATGGGCCTCTAAATATTGCAGTTAGTGAGTTTGTTCAGTGTTTGGATGTTGCTGTTAACATTTATTTATTGTGAGTGAGTGAGCGAGGTCAAGTGGGTGTGTCACGTGGTTGGGAGTGAGTGTGCTGGTCAGAAGGCCACTTTCAGAAGCGGATCTCCCTCCCCCGTGTGCTCCCGGGGATTGAACTCAGGAGGTCGGGCTTGGCAGCCAGTGCCTCTACCCTCTGAGCTACAGCAACAGCGCACTGTTCAGTTTTAGTACAGCTTCATGAGGGTGTGTAGGGACTTCCAGGTGTATCTATCCCTAGTGACAGGTAAAAGGAATAAGAACAGATAAATAAAATAGAACGCAAGAGGTCCAAAGCAAATGTGGCCAAAATGCTCCTTCTGCTATTGAAGCTGAGTGAGGACGGTGTGGATGGGTGCTGCCGTATTTGTCAGAACACTGGGCGTCCTCACACTCTCCATTATACAGTTAAATGCACAGTGTTGTTCCAAAAAGTGAGACAAGCGAATGGACGTGTGTCACCACCACCCCCTGGAGAAGGAAGCAGCCTGAAAACCCAGTCCCCTCTGCCTAGTTCAGAACTTATTGGGATTTCTTTATGCCCCTCGTGTCGGACACAAACAAACAAACGTCGGTTATTTGCACCCTCAATGCTGGAGGGGAAACTGTCCCCTGGGGTTCACATACCCATGTCGCCAGCAGATCCGGCGGACAGCGCTGGCATGGTGCAGGCCGGGCGGGGATGGTCACCCTCCACTCTTGTCTCAGAAAGCTTCACGGCGGTCAATCAACTGTCGCCCAGCTTCACCCAAGGGCTGTCCTGCAAGCCCTCCCTAGGAGGAAAAAAAACAGTTAAACATCCGTGTATATATAAAAAAAACCAAGTATCACTAAATCAAACACCCTACAGCTAATTCAAATTTGGTATTCGGCTCTACACCAGACAGACCATAATTTGCCCACGCAATTCTTCCTGCTAAGACAGGCTGATATTACCAGGAGAGTTTCTGACTTCGATGTCATTCCTATGAGGAAGACATGCTGCCCTGCGAGTGTCAAGGCTTCTGAAAGACCGTGACCTTTGCCCTAGGGCCTGCGGATCTGGGGTGTCACGGCCTTTCAGAAGATTCTGGGGAGCCAGTTCCTCACCATCTTATCCTGATTGTAGCTGCATTTCCAGATGTGTAACAAGACTATCAGTCACCAGCAGAGGACGACTCTGTGCTTCCACAGAGTTCACTCTGAACCACAGCTGCACGGCCCTCTGCTGCAGGCTCAGCATATCCTACACAGAATGCCTCAGCTAGAAGCAGGCACTGACCCACAGAAGGGTCAGCAATACAAGCTAAACCTTCTTTTAGTAAGAAGTTAAGCTTGGCTGTATCCTGGAAAATACATGGTTTTCGATGACCAGCCCGAGTTTACCCGGAAATAAGCAGGAAAGGACACAAAGCATAAACCTCTGATCCTGCTGGCTCTGTGACCGACCGTGGGTAACTCATTTAATCTTACTAAGCCTTAATTTCCTTGTATGCAAATGAGGAGAATAACTTACAACTGTGTGATAATTAAATATGTCAAGACATGCAACAATGCCTTGCACGAAGTAAACAAACAATGAAAGCCAGCTACGTGGTAGTTTGTTTCTTTAACTCCGGCAATACAATCATAAAATTAAAACATAAAAGAAAACAGCGAGATTACAATCCACCCAGCCTAGCACCTATAAGAGATCTGCCATGTGTTTTAAATTTGGATCACTGCAGACTAACAACGGAAAATACAGATCATTTACATTTTTGTTGAAATCATAACTATACATTTTAGTGTATTTCCCCCAGAATTTACACTCTATCTCCACAGAGCAAATTCAGACATTTAAAAGCATATTTTAACATATATTAAAGACAACAAGAAAAACAGACACTATAAACACTGGAAAACAATTGACTTCGATTCCTAAAGCCTCTAAGCTGCTGATTCATATTACAGAATAACGACAAACAAGCTTGCCAGCTTTTACTTGAGAAAAATACAACTGTAAAATTCCAGTAAAGCCTTCTAAATTAGCGTTTTAATTGTCAAAGTGAAAGCTGATATTTAAAAAATCCACCATCAAATAGACTTTCTTGGACTTGACTGTCTGCTGTGATGTCTAACCATCTGCTTCACATTATAACAAAGGCAAACACAGACCGCGCATAATACAAAGCCATACAGAAAGAAGTGCTAATTAAAAATAGGACGGCGGTTACTCAAATTCCCAGGAAAAACTCAACTCACTGAGCTTAAAGTTAAAAATGAAAGGAGAGGGCAAGCCAGGCCTCACTCATGCCCAGCACAGGCGTTGCTTTTTCTCCAAAAAGTCTTAAAAGGAAATTTTGCTTTGGTCTCATAAATTACTCTAATCAGGATTAAGATTTAACTGCATGAAAATATTCCTTATATAAAGTAAGGGGGCATATGAAGAAACTCAAACACAAAGAGAACTCCAGGTAGACCCCTGATAATCTACAGAACACATGTTAGTAGACTTTTCTTTTACTAACAGGGAAGAAAGAAGAGAAAAGAAAAGAGAAGAAAGGAGAAGAAAAGAAAAAAGTAAAAGAGAAGCAAAGAAAGGAAAAGAAGGAGGGAGGGAGGGCAGGCAGGGAGGCAGGCAGGCAGAAAGAAGAGAAAACCATTTAAAATGTATGAAGTGGATGGACACATTTCTGCCATTGGTGTAATACCTCTTTATGGTGTAAGCAGATACGGTGCTTTTCATGTGTCTGCGTACATATAACTTAGTTCTTTAGAGTACCAGAAGTCAGAATTTGTGCAGCACAGTCACCACAGACACAGAAATACATGCATTCTATACCACACATGCATGCATGCAACCCAACCCCCCTTTTCACTGCCTACAGAACTCAGTGTTTCACATTTATGAACTACATATGTCACATGACCCAATTTATACTTTTATCAAAAAAAAAACGGATAGAATGTGGCACATTCTTATTCCAGGAATACTGACAAAAACCTGATATCCCACCTCAACCCAACTTTTTCATCTTTTTAAAAAAATGTTTTGCTTCAAAATTTATTCATTATATATCCTGACGAAGCCCCCTCCTCAACTCCCCCAGTCCTGCCCTCCCTCCCTCTTCCCCTTATCTCCTTCCCCTACTCCACTGAAAAGGGGAGTTCTCTACCACTGCTATCTGCCCACAGTTAGTTAAGAGGACTGCCTGGCTCCTCTTCCTCCGTGGCCTGGCAAAGCCACATCACCAGCGGGGAGTGATCAGAGAAAGCAGTCAACTAAGTTCATGATTAGATGCTGAGACTCAGGGATAAACTTTGGGGAGAGCACAAGGAGTCTTATGGAGGAAGAGAGGGGTGGGATTATAGGAACATGGAGGGGACAGGAGTCCCACAAGGAGACTAACAAAACTAAGAGATCTGAGCCCAGGGGGCCCTGCAGAGACTGATGCACCAATGGAGGACCATGCATGGAGAGGACCTAGACCCCCTGCTCAGATGTGGCCCATGGCAGCTCAGTATTTATGTGGATCTCTGAGTGAGGGGTTCAAAACAACTTTTAAGCCAGGGTTAGCACACAAAAGGGACATCGAAGCCTTGCCTCAAACAGAAAGGCCTCGAACAGAAAAGGTTAAATTTGTCCAATCCTGGGCATTTATCACCGACTAATAATTTTCTAAGTATATATTATACAACATAATTATCTTCCTAGAATAGTGCAAGCATATGAATTTTTAAAAAGTTTTGATATAATCCTAATGAGAAAAAATGCTCAGCACTTTATGGAATGAATAGTGTTGCTGGACTTAACTTTCAAATCAGGCTAAATTTTTGTGTAATAATGTTATTTTCTTTGGCTAAATTGATTGAAAATGCTTTGGAATTTGTCAGAACACAGCCGTAATTATTACTGACTGTTGTATGGAATCCATTTACTACAACACAAAAATACCAGCTGTTACAGTGTGTCCTGAGAGGGATTACTGGATATTCTTAAATTGAAGTTCAATCCATCTTTCCATAAAAAAGAGAAAGGCCTGAATGCCAGGAACATAACAGCAGTATCAAATGCACCTGAGGCATTTATAATACCCAACAGGACCATTACAGCTCTCCTTTAAAAAGGCTTATTTTTGAAATTTCACTATTCCAGTTGTACCTTGCTCCTATATATCACACTGTATCAGGTTTTCCTGGCAGTGATCACGTGGAAACAGTGAACTACATGAAGGTCTACGTGCTCACAATGTTCAATTTTACCCTGGCTACATTCTCTGCCTCTGTAGCACTCCTGACATCTAGTGGTCGCTCACGGAAGTGCAAGAGCTTGTGGGAGGATGAGGATGGGGGGGGGGAGGATAATTGATGACAAAGATGTATCTGTGTGTGTGTTGTGTGTGTGTTATGCGAGCAAGACACAGGGATGCTATGGCAGACACGTGGTAGTCGCAGGACAACTCTGGGGATTCAATCTCCCCTTTCACAGTGAGTTCCAGGGCTCTCCCTCAGCTCCAGGCTCACACAGCAAGCCCATTTACGTGCTGAACCATCTCCCCAGCCCAAGTGGCTTTTTGATTTCTCACAGAACAAAATTTGACTTAATTCATCCAGCAACATAGTTCCCTTCAAAGTTACTGCTTAATGTGAAGTGAGGAAAATAATGCAGTGAAGAAAATAACAAATCAAACTTGACTTGGGAAAGCTTTCCAGGACATGGCAGCCTTTTACAAACCACGGAACAATTTTCAATGGCCTGTTATTCCGGGAGACAGTGGACATGATCAATGATTTAACAGTTATGCTTCCAGCTCTGACTCTAACACAGCAACAAAATAGTCAGAATAAGAGTAACGCCTGCAATGTAAAGCTAGCTCACCAATCTCTAAAGGGTAGTTTGTTAGTTACACTAGTTAACATAAGCACACCGATATACGGTAAGTGTCGTAAGACTATGACAGAGGCCAGACAGAGCTCTGTGCCACAAATCTAGTCACATGACACGGAGTCCAGGCTTGGCATACTGCTCACTGGTTGGGCCCATGCCTTGAGTGCTTGAGGCCCTCCAGCACCAAAGACAGCATGTATGCTGTATGCGAACAGTCCTCCAACAATGTCAATGGACCCCTGCAAGCTCAGAGACCTGGCTGTGGAGGGGGAGGGGTAAACTATGTTTAGAAAAATGCTGAAACAGCATTCCTCCTTTCCACTTTCAACATCCAGTAAGAGGGCTGGCACCCCGGCATGAGGCGAGGCCACGAACGCTGGTCCTCAGGAAGGGACACTTAGGTCGGTCCCAGCTCAGGGGTCTCCGGGCCCTGTTTCTGAAGTGCATAGGGTCTTCAACAATCGAAAAGTAACTTCCACTTCTGGGGACAGCCAAGCACCACAGCAATGGACTGTGCGTTTGAAAGTCCCTTAGACGGCCCTGGCCAACAACTCAAAAGAGTGCTTCTCATATCCTGTGTTGGGGTTTTTGTCGTATGGCCATTGGCTATTGGAGAGAGCGCTGTCAGCTCAGGTGAGAAAAATGAATTACAACTAAATGTATATTTAAATACTAAGTTACATGCACTGTAGGAGTTTTTTTGGAAACAGGTTATAACAGGATTCTTTGTGGCTTTTTCAGCCACCCACATTGCTATTTTAGCGACCTACCTCCTTCTGGTACATTTAACTCCTCTTCCTCCCAAAAAAAGCTCTTCCCTTCCCCCATTTCCCCTATTAGATCACTTGTTTCCTGCCATTTCCCTTTATCCTCTTTCCACCTTCTTCTACATTTACCTAAGAATCCCCCCTTTCCTCATTTCCC